AGGGAGGGAGGGAGGGAGGGGGAGTGGCCTTAAGCCACGCCTCTAGAAGGCATGTGATTTGCATAAGAGGGAGGGGCCAGCAGCAGGCTGATTGCGGGTCAGGCGTAACGTCTGAATGCGGAATGCATTGGACTGCAATCTAATTTTTGCATGTTCTGCAACTTGTACCCAGACTTTAAAGTTCAGTGCCCCACTCTTTGTCTCTCAGAGCAAGAGGAAAGCAATGGTCAACCTCCTTGGAATAAGAAGTCCTGCCTAACCAACCCTGGGTAAGTCACACTCTCTCAACCTCAGGGGAAGGCAATGGCAAAGCTCCTCTGAGCCAATCTGGGTAAGAAAAACCCAGGATAGAGTCGCCTTAGGGTCTCCAGGAGTCGGAAATGCCTTGGAGGCACACAACAAGCCCTTTGCTTGGACCCAACTTGAAGGCACGTGAGAACAAAGTGACACGTGTTTCCTGCCTAGTTTGCGGTTTCCTTCTGAGTAAGGACCTCCCTTCCCCCTTCCCCCCCCCCCGCATGGTTTTATTGCTCCAAACAGAGGTGTAGAGACTAAAGGCTGCATCCACACTACAGAAATAATCCAGTTTGAGCCCACTTTAACTGCCATGGCTCCATGCTGTGGAATCCTGGGAAGTGTCATTTGCTTGGAAGCCTGCTGGGTGACTTTGGACAAGTCACACTCTCTCAGCCTGAGAGAGGAAGGCCATAGCAAATCTTTGTGGAATAAATCTTGGCAAGGAATGAGGGAGTTGCCATAAGTTAGAGTTGACTTGAAAGCATGCAACAGCAGCAAACACATATTTACTAAATAAGTCAATACAAGGATTTCATCCCTATTTATTGTTTTTCAACCAGAGCTTTGTCTCCTCTTCTGCAATGCTGGAGTTGTGATATTTTCTTGCATTTTGTGGAGGGGGAAAGGAGAGGCCTTTTTCCATGAAGCCACCATGTCCCAGCTCCCTGTGAAGAAAAAGCGCCAGCAGGCGCACAACCTTCCAGCCGACCCGCAATATTGTGTGCGTTTCCCTGAGGTGGTCCTCTGTCTGGTGGAGAGGAAGATGGGCATCAGTCGTAAAACCTTCCTCACGTCTTTGGCCCGCGGCAAGGGTTTCTGCGTGGAGGATGCCAGCAGGTAAGGGAAAGCCCAGCCTGATCCTGGTGGGTATCACGCCGTGTGACGCGACAGCTAAAAAA